ATAAATGTGTACATGGGCATGTACACATTTATAAATGTGTACATAGGCATGTACACATTAAATGAAGCATACATGCCATGTACACTTTCTTTAATGTGTACTATGTACACATTTGAGTTGACAGAGTGGTTGCGGTGCGGATTGTCGGCAGACGTGCCATATTTAAACCTCCATCATGCCTCGGAAAATGTGAGAGGGGGACCGCTTGGCGGACGCGTTGGCTCGTGCGTGGCGGCGCCCATTCCCCCTCCTCTCCTACCCCGCCGGGCTGGTTTTCCTGCTTGGCAGCTTCCTCTCTTTCGCCACACACCCTTGGAGCCCTCCGCTCTTTCCCAACTCCCCGGACAACTGCCTGTTTCGCGGGGAAATAAATGAGTGTGGTGCTGGGTGCGGGTCCCGTTTTAATTTGCCGTCAGTTCTCTCCAACCACTCGTCCAAAACAACAATAAAACAGTTCTGCGGCCAGCTCACGCGAACCGTATGGCCCGCCCTAGTTTTCCTTATGGATGTATTAAAGTTTGGAATTTCGGCTCAGGGTCGGCGGAGGGGTGGGGTGTGCCATGACCAAAACTCTGCACCGAAAATGTGGGATTGCGCTGTACGATTATGGGGTGAAAAATATTTTGAATGTAACTGTTTCACCGCTTGCGCGCGCCGTGGTTCCACGTACGCTCTGGCGAAAGCTCGCGCAAGCTGTTATTAGTGCGTCGTTGCCTTGTGTTGAGCCCCAGCCCGGGTGGCGCCCACCCACTCCTTTGCTGCGTCTTAAATTGCGGTTTCTGGATGAGTTGGCTCCGTGCGGGCGTGTTCTCGAGCTCGGATTGGATTTGCACACAAGCCCTCGGCTCGGGAGCTGCTCTGCAGCGGCGGGTGCTTCTAGCCGGGTGAGTCCGTGGGCTCAAGACGAAACTCGGGTCGAGCTGTGCACCGTGTGCTCTACTAGTTGCGTGATTTGATTCCCTGCAGCGGTTCAGCGCCACGCGGGGTCTGTTGCGAACCGGAGCTACTCTCTGCAGAAAACGGGGCTTTTCCTCGTCTGTTTGTTTAGTTTGTTTTGTTAGTTTTTGTTTCACTCCCCCGCGTGTTTCATGGAATCGGTGTGGATCTGGCGGCGGCAACGGGGTTGTTGTGCGTGCGAGGCATTTCCACGAAGGCGCGAAGTTTTCCTGTTTTCATTTTTCGGCCCTCTCTTTGTTCGCGCAGGTGATGCGCTACACGGCCGGCCAGATCAACTACGGCGGCCGCGTGACGGACGACTGGGACCGGCGCACCATCGCGCACCTCGTGGCGCAGCACTACGACCTTGCCGTGACGCAGGCCGGCCACAAGTTCGACGAAGACGGCACTTACAAGCAGGTGCGCCGTGCGCCGCTGGCGCGAGTGGGGCGAACAAAAGACTATACCACAGCACGCGCGTGCAGCAGCGCAGCGAAAACTGTAGCGAACAATGCGGCAGCGGGGGAGTTCTGCTTCCGACTACTCGCCACCTTCCGCTTCCGCGTTCATTCTTCGACCCACTCGACCCGGCCTTTCCTAGCAGCTGATACATTCCAAACATTTTAAATTAAAATGCGTCGGCTTGCTTGCACTGCTGTCGTGTTTTTAGTTCTCACCTCACTGTTAAAATCGTACGAAGCAAATGCTTTTGCGCTCAAAATCGCGATTGCGAATGATTTTGATTCTTCGTAACTACGAAGCATCTTTCCTTGCAATTGCGAAGAAAAATGCTTCGTTGTTACAAAAGATCGAAATTCTTCGCAATTGCGAAGAAAAGTGCTACGTAGTTACAAAAAAAGGATCAAAATCCTTCGCAATTGCAAAGCATGGCTTCGTAGGATTATAACAGTGCCTGTTGGGGTCGTCCCTGTTTTTACTGTGCCTTTTTATTATGCGAACCAACATGCGAGGCGCTAATTAGGCCGGTCCAGTGCGTGGTCCATGGGCCGGGGACGGACGCTGGGGCTGCGATGTGACCACAACCCGATCCCCCCCC